GGGCAGTTTCACGAGTGTTCTTGAAGTGAACACGAAGATTTGAACCTCTTGACTTGCATGATTTTGTGGGGTTTTCTGGGTCAAGTAAATAGCGAACCATTTTTGCAGATCACCTCAGGCCGCTTGAGGGGCCTGTCTATTCTTATATAACTGTATTGATGATAGTTACATAATCTGACATAAATAATCCTAATGTCTTATATCTCTCTTACAGATTTTATTAAACAAAGAAGAGCAGGACTGAATGAATTTATTCAGAACCTGGTTAGACATCCAGAGCTCTATAACCAGTAAGTAATTTTCATTGTATTCTAAAGGGACGCTGAAACCAAACCTAAGAATATTGAACAAGCCTCACACAGATTTTATCTGTTCTGTGAAATGTTATTGTGCTATGTATGTTTGTAAAATCTGCCTCAAGCATTTCCTCCCTGATATTCTTAATCCCCTTTTCCCTTCATCAGCTTGTCTTCTTTCTTTCTTCCATTTGTATTTGAATTAGTTTTGTAGATTAAACTTGAAAGAAATTTGCATAATACAGTTAAAACATTTTCCTAATTATTTCATATTATATTCATCTCTGCCTTCAAAAAGTATTTAAGTACCTGTTACGTGCATTAGGAATATAAAGCTAAATGAGTTTCGTTCCTACCTTCCAGAGGTATGGGTTCCCAGTCCAGTGGGAGTTGTAGACATATAAACAAGTATTATAATTGAAGCGGGGTAATTTTTATGGTAGAGGTGCCAGAACATCACAGAAAAACATGTGGCCAGGAGGTCAAGGAAAGCCTCCTGGGACTTAAGGGATGTATAATCATTCAAGAAAAAAGGTAGGGAGAGTGTTCCAGGTAAAGGGAGCAGTACATGTAACAGAATACAAAAACCCTGAACCATGAGGCTGCTTACGTAATAACATTTCGTGGTGATTGGAACAGAGTAGGTTTTTGGAAAGGAAATGAGGCTGAAGGAGTTGGCAGGGGTCAGGCCCACAAGCCACTACCACTTGTTCCACCTGCAGCAGTGTTCTCTTCTGTTGACCCACACCAGGCCTCCATTCCTTCTCAGCATAGCATTCAAAGCAACCACTTAAGGTGAATGCACTTTCCCAGGCCCATGTATATATTATATGTGTGTCTCATGCTAATAAATTTAAACTTCATTTTGTAGACCAGCAGCTCCCAATGAGAGGAGAGGGTAGGTCATATCAGAAATACCTACAAAAGGCCTGGCATGGTGGCTCATGCCTATAATCCCAGCTCTTTGGGAGGCCGAGGTGGGAGAATTGCTTAAAGCCAGAAATTTCAGACCAGCCTGGGCAACATAGCAAGACTGTCTCTATAAAAATAAAAAAATTAACCAGGCGTGGTGGCACCTCTAGTCCCAGCTACTTGGGAGGCTGAGGCAGGAGGATTCCTTGAGCCCAGTTTGAGGTGATAGTAAGCTATGATGATGCCACTGCACTCTAGCCTGGGCAACAGCAAGACCTTTTCTCTAATTAAAACAAAAAAGAAATACCTATGAAAACTTGGGTAGATCCATGGTTTAGTTTGTGTTTTCATTTTTGAGTCTGATAGTTGATTCATGGATATTGATTACATTTACTGTCATTTGTAATTTAATGTATGTTACGGTACTTCCATTGTTTTGTATATATAAAGCATTATATTCTAAGAAGAAATAAAGAGGATAAAGTAAAATATCTGGGGGTCTTTTCCACAACTCACTTAGCTGTGTAAATGTAAAGGTTGCTTTATGGACAGTGAGGTAAATAGGACACACTTTAATAGTCTTTTCAGAATCACAACACTGAAGGACTATATTTTTCAGCAGTTCTAAAAACAATGATTACCATATGTATAGTTCTTTACAGTTCAAAGAAAGCTTCTACTCTCTTTTAATTTACTTAATTTAATTTAATTTACTAAGTTACTAAAATACCATAACTGAGTCTCCTCTGACAAGGTCTTCTGCCCAGAGCTATGGATTGTCCCTGATGCTCACAGGTAGGATAAGAGTCAGGGAGGTCTTGTACCTGTAGTAGCACCAGGATTAGCCAGTGCAGTAAGAGCAGGTGTCCTCCCATTCAGGGCCTCCAGCAGTGGCAGAGGATCATGAAATTGAGTTCCCGGTCTAGTCGGTTCCTCAGCAAAGAGTCTTCTATTATTTGACTCTTGGCATAATTATTTTTTTAAACATTATTCCTTTTCCTGAGGACAAGTTCTGTGCTATCTTCACCTCAGATCTACCCTTCTAACCTCCAATTTTTGCTCTATATACTAGAGATTACTTTGAATTGGAATATTACTGGCTTCTTTGAAATATAATTCATGCATTCAGAGCTTAAATTTGTCTCTCCTTTGACAGAGCTGACTCGGAATAGGTATACAATAAATGGTGGTAGTGGTGATTATTTCTCCTAGTATTTTTAAGTGTTACTCAGAACTTCTGACACTATATAGTAAATACTAAATATCCATTCTGAATCTTGAAGTGCAGTATTATAAAGATGTTACATCTGGCATTAAAATTGAACTAAAAGCAACTTGATTATTCACAATTGCCAGTTTCTAAAACATTGTACTGTAAAATACACAATTCTTAAATATATAGTTCAATGGATTTTTACATACATTTGCACCCTGTAACTACCACGATTCCATTCAAGATAGAGGACATTTGTAGCACCCCCAAAATAGCTAAGAGTTTTTTAAACTTAATTTTTTAACTGACATTTTCTTTTTAATAAAATGTGAGATTTTGGCTGGGCACAGTGGGTCACACCTGGAATCCTAGCACTCCAGGGAGGCTGAGGTGGGAGGATTGTTAGAGCCCAGGAGTTTGAGGTTGCAGTGAGCTATGATGATGCCACTGTAATCTACCCAGGGCGACAGAGCAAGACTCTGTCTCAAAAAAATAAAATGAAATGTGACATTTCATATTTTCTGGATCTCTTCTGTTATTAACAACTTTAATTTGCATGCTTTTCATTTGAACATCAAGCTATTTTTAAAATAGTAAAGGTTTAAGAGAGCAAGAAGAGAAGCCAATCAACAAATGTATCTTGAACACCTACTACCTTTCATTACTGTTGAGGAAATGTACTTTAAAAATAGCTTTACTTCATTAGAGAAAAGCTAATTTTTAAGATAACTTTATTAAAATTAAATTAAGCAATCATTAAAAAACTGGAATAAAATGTTCGTATTTTCTCTGACCTCTGGATGGAAAAGAGTTTTCTGAGCATGTTGGTAGTGAATGATGTGTCAAAAAGTAAAACAGTGAAAAATTTCACTAATAAAAACTTTTCATAAATCTTAAGTGAAACTGAAAACCAAAAATATAGAAAGAGTTTTCCATGATAAAGATAATAGGTAAATATACTTAACATAGAAAGAGCACATGCAAACAATACACACTTAAGACACCAAAAGAAAAATGGACACAGCACATGAGCTGTTTGCAAAAGAGGAGATACAAATGGCTGATTAATTATCAGAGAAACTGAACATTTCTATGTGTACTTAAAAAATGAAAATGGGCTGGGCTCAGTGGCTCATTCCTGTAATTCCAGCAGTTTGGGAGGCTAAGGCAGGAGGATTGCTTGAGGCCAGGAGTTCAAGACCAGCCTGGGCAACATAGCAATACCCCATCTCTACAAAAAAATAAAACATTAGCTGGATGTGGTGGAACATGCTTGTCCCAGCTATTTGGGAGGCTGAGTTGGGCCCTGGAATTTGAGGTTACAGTGAGCTATGATCTCACCATTGTACTCCAGCCTGGGTGACAGATCAAGACCCCATCTCTAAAATAAAAAAAGGAAAAAGAGAAAGAAAGAAAATAGAAGTGTACAATACAGAAAAGTGCCCAGATCATGACTGTACAGCTCAATGAATTATCAGAAAGTGAACACACCTGAGTTGTCACCCCCAGCCCCCACCAGGCCAAGAAATAGAATGTTATCAACACCCCTAAAGCCCCTCACACATCCTCTTTCAATATCTATTTCTTCCTTTCTTCCTAAACCTAACTACTATTCTGATTTTTAACAACATAGATTAGTGTGCCCTGTTTTTAAACTATATAAATGGAATCATACACTATGTATTCTCTGGCTGGCTTATTTTCAACAACGAGAGAATTATCCGTGTTGTTGCATGTAGTTGTAGTTTGTTTATTTCCTTTGCTGTATGACATTCCTTTGTATGAATATACCACAATTCATCTATTCTTCTGATAGACGTTTGAGTTGTTTCCATTTTCTGGCTATTATAAATAATACCACCATTAACATATCTTTTGGTGCACATATGCAAACATTTCTGATGTATCTTGAAGTAGAACTTCTGGGTTGGGAGGATATATAGATGTTTAACCTTAGTGGATAATGTCAAATAGTTTTCCAAAGTGATAGTACCAATTTTACGCTTCTACCGTCACTGTATGAAATCACATTGCTTACCTCACCAACACTTAGTAATGTTAGTCTTTTCCATTTTAGCCATTTTGATGAGTGGTTAGTGGTATCTTATTGTTACTTTAATTTGCATTTCACTTAGTACCAAAAACTGAGTACCTTTTCTTTAAAATGCAATTTTTCACTTATCAAATTAACAAAGGTGTTAATATAAAATGTAACATTTAATATGAACTAGGCTGGGAGAGTCTTCAGGATGTTCATATACTGCTAGCGGAGTGTAAATTGGTATAACCTCTCTGGAAATCAGTTTAACAAACTATTTAATGCTGTAAAATTGTTTATAATTCTGAGTAGTAATTTTATTTTTAAAAATCTGTCCTGAAAATCATAAATGCAGTTCTAGTATAAGCACAAAGATGGCCAATTGCAGCATTATTTATAGTAATGAAGTTGTATGGTAAAAAGTTGGAAGCCATCTATATATCCTAAAGTGACAGAATCATTGAGTAACTTTTAGTGCATTTATATTGTACAACATCATACATCTATCAAAAGTTATTGTTTACAAAGAGTTTTTAACAACATGGGGAAATGCATATAATGTAATTTTTAAGTGAAAAACAGGTAAAAATTTAAGTATAGTGTGATCTTAGTTGTGCAGAGAAAAAGACTGAAATAAAATACGCCAAAATGTTAATAGTGATTGTCTCTGTGTGGTAAGATTGAAAATCCCCACCTCTACCTTTTATAGAGATAAAATTCACCATTTTAACTATTTTAACATGTATAATTCAGTGGTTTTTAGTGTATTCACAATGCTGTACAACCATCATCACTATCTAATTCTATCACCAAAAGTCTAAGCTGACATTTACGTCCCTCCAAAAAAGAAACTACCTCCAAGTTCTCTCTTCCCCCAACTCTTGGAAACCACTGTTCTGCTTCCTGTCTCTGGATTTGCCTATTCTGAACATACCATTTAAAATGAAATCATACAATATGTGACTTTTTTTCCTGCCTTTGCTCATTTAGCATTATGTTGTTGAGGTTCATCCATGGTGTAGCATGTGTTAGTACTTCATTCCTTTTTATGGCTGAATAATATTCCATTGTATGGATAATACCACCAGTTTGTTTATCCATTCATCCATTGATGGGCATTTGGGGTGTTTCCACTTTTTAGCTATTATGAATAATGCTGCTAGGAGTATTCACATGTGAGTTTTTGTGTGAACATATGTTTTTATTTCTCTTGGATATATGCCCAGGAATGGAATTGCTGGGTTATACAGTAACTCTATTTAACTTTTCAAGGAACTACCAAACTGTTTTTCACAGCAGCTGCACCATTTTACATTCATGCCAGCCCTCCCCTTTCTAAAAAGAGTTTTTATCTTGTGAGTTCCCTACAATGAATGTATATTGTTTGTATTTCATTATTAAGAGCAAATTGGGGAGGAGGTACCAGGTATAGAGATTGAATCATTTCTCAGGATCGTCATTAATCCATGCATGGCCCCTCTTTAATTTTAGTCCATTTTTTTCTCTTTATCCTTGATCTTCATACCTATTTCTTTATCCTCACTATTGATACCCACTTAAATGTGTTTGATATATGTCCTTGGATATCTACATATCCTTGGCAAACTTAGACTGACTGGTGCTTTATGTCTATATATGTAAATGGTCCTGAGCTATAGTTCCTTGTTTCTGGCTGCTGACTGATAGTCTCTGTAGATGGTTACCATAGTTGATTTACTTGTGTCCCTGGTGGTAGATGCGTATTTTGCTTCTAATTCACTACTATAGAGAATGAGTGTCATGGTTACATGCCTTTCACTGGACCTGTACATAATTTTTTCTGTTGTTTTTATCCCTATACCTGCAATTTCCAGGCCCAGAGAAAATGCATGCACAGTTTCACAAGTAGTGCAAGATTGCTTTTCAGAAAAGTTGTCTTGTTCTACATTCTCAACAGCAATACATGAGGATGTCTCTTTCCCTATGTCCTTACCAACTTTTGGTATTATCTTTCTAACTTTTGCCAGTTAATAGACATAACATAGTATGTCATTATCGTTTTAATTTGTATTTCTCTGATTATCAGTGAAGTTAGACATTTTCACAAATTTCCATGTCATTTGGGTTTTCTCCTCCTGTTTATACCTTTGCCCATTTGTCTGTTGGTTTCCCTATTTTTTAAAAAGTAATTTGCTTATTCCTTTTATAATAATATTAATAGATTTTGTTTGGCTTACTATAAGTGCTAATATAGTTTTTTATATTTTGATTTTTATTTTAAAAAGGAGAAAAGCTGTAGAAATGCTTTTGAAGTTATAATAAAGTTAATTTTTGTTTTTAGTCCAGATGTCAGAGCATTCCTTCAAATGGACAGTCCAAAACATCAGTCAGATCCATCTGAAGATGAGGATGAAAGAAGTATTCAGAAGGTAGTAAGAGGAATTGTATTTTTTAACAGAAAAAAATACCATTCCCCCAAAGATGAAATTAGTGGCAATTTTAGGACAATATATACTTAAAATGAAGTAACTTCATTCGTAGTAGAGTTTCTTCTGTGTAAAATACATAAAGACAAATGTATACACCTTACTGATCACTATTTCTTACAAAATTTATAGAATGAGTACTTTTTATAATTAGTACAGGTTAATTAAAAATTCAAAAATAGCAGTTAAGAAGAAAAGTATTACCCATGTTTTCACCACCCAGATCTAGTAATTTTTAACATTTTAGTGATTTTCTTTCCAGTCTTCTCTTAATATAATTATCTAAGTTTATCTTAGATAAAAATTGTCTTAATTTTAATTATCTAATGAAAATTATACAGTGTATACAATTTTATATTCTGCTTTCTTCACTTTATGTCTTATTTTTGGATCATTACATATCTTTATTATCATCACCATACTTGAAACTATTGTTTTGAATTTTGGCCAGCAGGAAAGGCCTTTTCAACCACAATTACATACTTCTTCCTCTGCATTGTCAAGTATACTTGACAATCAGTATACTCATGCCAATTGGCATCAAATAACTTTTATTTCTGTGGTATATGTACATAACCAATGTGTGTTCCTAATAGAGAATAGGGTATTCTTATTATTTAAACTAGCAATAAGTTTAAACTGTGCCTTTTTATGAAGACGTTTTCAACATTTACCTTAGAAAGTTATGTGGAAAAGGTAAATTACAATAATTTAACTCAATGTATTATGTAGCAGTTCAAATTATAATTACAAATGTAATATAAATATAATATCTTTATAATTCAAACTTTTTGAACTATTATTAAATACATAAAATTAGAGGTGTTGAGTTGAAGTACATTTTTCTTTATACTGTCTTTTAATTTTGTTATGGTTTTGTTTTTGTGATTTAAAAGATAATATCCTGCATTAGAATATGACTGTCCCAGGGCTAAAATCTTCATTTGGAAGAAAGACATACTCCTTTTTTGTGACCGATGGAAAGTAGTGATTTTCCTTCTCTGATGCCCCAAGAGGATTCTCACTTAAGAGAACAAATTTAACCTTTGTATATATGATATGGTTACTCCTAGCACAATGTAAAAAGATATGTATTTTTATAGTTGCTCAAAAAAGAAACAATAAACTGGGAAAAACATTTGTAACAAGACATAAGAAGAAATAACATCTATGTAAAAAGCAAATGGGTTTTTGAACAGAAAGATACTTAATACCCTAGTACTTAAAAGGAAAAGGGACATGAAGGAATACTCTTAGCAAAAAAAAAAAAAATACATGGGAAAATGTTCACCCTTGATGCTAATAGCAAATGAAATTTTTAAAGGAGAGATTTGTATTTCTCCATCAAATTAGTAAAAATGTAAAGTAAATAAAATATTGTAGGACTGATAAGGGTAAGGTACAACGAGCACCCTTGGACATCATTGGTGTGGTAATTTTATGCAACTCTTTTGGAAAGCAGTTCAGCAATATGTATCAAATATAAACATATTCATGTCACACAGGAATTGATGCCAATGAAATAATCCTTCACACAGAAAAAACAAAGATGTTCATTTTGGTGTGATCTGTTATAAAAAATTAGAACCTTAATATTCATCAATCAGAAAGTATTTGTCCATATATATTACACATTTTAAATTATATTTGAAGGTAATATTTAAACTTTGATATAAGTGAAAGCTTATGAGAAATAAGTATATAAAATTTTATAT